TAGTCATAAAAGGAGTTTTTGAGGAACTATTACTCCTCTATCTTCTTGAACCAGTTTTGCACTACTGGAGAGCAGGATAAGATCTAGCAGGAAGGGCACATTTCTCTAGGAGTGCATCTGGTAAACAGTGGTGGCTGGCAGAGTGACAGTGGCTGTCGTGGCAGGGCTGCCACTGCCGGGATTGCTGCCTGGTGATGCCAAAGGCCGGACACTCTGGTCACGGAGCAGTGGGGTGCAAGGGGGAAGAGCTGTTATAGATAGTGAGGGAGGATGGACAGATCTTTCCAGAGGCCTTGCAGAGCCAAGAACCTGAGCTCCATGTTGAAAGGAAGGAGAGAAAAATAGAGATAAACTTTGAGAGTCAAGGGTGGAAACTTTCAAGATGGAGAAGGCTGGAGGTTGGTTACTACTGGCAGCATAACTAAGGTCCCAGTTCCACTTGTGATTCATCAGGTACAGAGAAGGTAAAGTGCCCTGTGAAGAGGTGGGAGAGATGACCTCCCTGCCTTCAGATGGGGCAGCAGATCGAGCAGAGCCTCAGCCCTCAGCAGGTTCCAGGAGAGGAGGGTGGTAGGTATCAGAAGCTCTCTCCTGAGGAGACAGAGGCCCTCGTGTGCCAACCTGCTGTGCTGTCACGGGAGGTTTGCCGCTTGCCAAGAGCTCTCACACAAGCATTGCAAAGAGGCTGCCAGAGCTCGTTTGTCTCCTGGACTGTGACCACTGCTGCTCATCCATGTGGGCACCCGTGATGCAGCCTTGAGGAGTCGGGAGCGACTGCATGGCTCTGAGTGCAGGGACCCAGCTGGGCTCTCCTCAGCCCTGCTGGTGGAGGGGGAAGGCTCTGGCTTGTGCAGGCACTTCTAGCAGGCAGTCTGGAGCTGTGATGGTGGTGTTGCTGGCAGGGCTGTGATCTCCAGGGACACGGGGTACTCTCTGAGGAGCAAGGGCTGCTGAGCAAGAATCTGACAAAGTGAGCTGAGGTCATCTCTAATTGGCTGCACAACCTTGTGAAGGCAGTTTTAAATGATGCTTATTGGGGAAGGGGCTTCATTCTCTGGAGAAAAGGGTGAGCAGAAAGATGCAGTCTACAGCTAAACTGAGCAGGGTGTGTAGGAAAGATGGAGCCAGGCTTTTTTTGGGGGTACAGAGTGGAAGAAGGATGAGAGGCAAAAAAATTGGGAGTTGGGAGTTTAAAATCAGAATGATGGAAAGACATGAGATGTCATGAGGGTGTTCAGATGCTGGCACAGGTTTCCCAGAGAGGTTTTGAGATTGCCATCCTTGGGGAAATGCAAAACTTGTCTGAAGAATGACCTGAGCAACCACTTTTAACTCAAATTACTCTGAGGAGGATGTTGGTCTAGGAGACCTCCAGAGGTTCTTTCAAACCTATATGACTCAGTAATTTTTTACAAATTATTCTGACACATTAGGGTTAGCCGTGGCCTGATGTCTGAATTCAGAGTTATTTTAGGGAAGTCCTCTATTCTCTGCCATGCAAGAGATCAGTCTATTTCCAGTGTTGCCTCATTCCTTATATGTCATCATTCCATATGGAGCACAGATGTGATCTGGTATGCCAATCCTTGGATTAATTTACAGTTAGGAATAACAAGAATTTGTTTTACTTTGATTTGTCCTTAGGCACATGAACAGATGTGACTACTCCTCTTGTGATGCATACAAATATTAGTCAATCATCATAATCAGAAGGAATTGTTGACATTTAATTGTTTAGGTAATAGTCCCTGGCTTACATTTACATTAAATCCTTTAATTTTAAGTAGGCATGAAACATTACAATCTCTTCAGTAAATAAGTGGTGCTGAGCACCTAAATGGCATTATAGTGGAGGAGGTGGATGGTTAAAGGCTGTCTTTTACCTCCTTGAGTGGTAGAACTCTGCTTCTGGGAGAGGTCATGCATGCCACGCTGCTAGGAGAAGGTTTAGCTATTTGAAAAAGAAAAGATGTGGAAATGTTCTTCTGCTCATTCTCTGTCTCATGAGCAATGCATTATCAGTAGTGAAAGAGGCAGTGCACCAAACTGCCCTTGTAGGCAGCTTTAAACAGGTGTCATATCTCTTCTCACTGTTTTGTTTAGACATGGCCCTGGTTACAGAATTACATTTGTAGCAAAATGACATTCACCAGTGATGAAATACAGCAAGCTGAGAAGGTGAGCATAGTGACTCTCTAACGATGCACAGCAACATGCCATAATAATTCTTGTCTGAGATGAAGAAAGACTTTGTGACTCCTTGGATCAGTTTTCATTCTGGCTCTGAGCGCATTATATTGAGCTCTGTTTATGACCCGTGTTTTAATAGTAAATCCTGTTTTTGTCTGTACTTAAATTTCTAAGATTCTATAGGAGTTGCCAGTGGAAAGTGGTGTGAGTTCATGGGGTTGTTTAGAATTGTCTGACAACAGCTAGGAAACTGATTCAGCTGTCAGGAAAGAAAGTTAACATGGGAATTTTTTTTTTTCCATTCAGCACTGCAGGAGAAGGAACGTTTACCATTGAAATAAGTTCAGTTGCTTGTATTGTCAAATCTTGAGGTAGTCAAAATTATTATTCCCTGGTTTAGGAGTGCAGGATGTGTTCCAGGCATGAGAAGGACAAAGACAATCTGGGGACGATTGCTCAGGTGTTCTAAGCTGCAAAACTTCTTGAGAAGACAAGAAGCTGTTTTTCTTCCTCTGCTGTGATACCAAGCATTGCAGCATTCCACATGCTTGCTGTAAAAGCACTTTGGGACAACCAGAATGGAGATTTAATTTAGCAATCAAACATTTCTATTATTCCCTATTTCATGTCAGAGGAGTTGCTGGTGGAATACTGATACTCTGTGTGTAGGGAGTGGGGCTGAGGGAAATGCTGGGTGGAGATGGGAAATGGCAGCTCTCACTTCTTTGCTTAAAGCTATTCTGCTTTGCTTTGTTGCTGCTGTGAGAAAATACATATCTTCTATATGTAAAGAGTGGATTTTTCTGCCTCCTGAGCACAGGACAGCCTCTGAGTCTCAGTGAGGACGTGCCATTAAATATACTTGCAGTACATTAGGCCTAAAGACTCCAACATGTGCTGTACCACTGAGAAGGAGATGTTTTTTTGATATGTGATGGTTTCACTCATGTGGTGCTTCCATTGTGTTTTACAAGAGAACATGCAACTTTTAAAGCCTTTTGGCTCAGGTAACTTAGTTCCCACAGAGAAGTAAAGTGATTTCCTGATAGTAAGTTAACAAGAAAAACCTCTTTCAAGGTTTGCATCTGTGTTGAGCTTTTATTTTTGTTCATAGGATCACAGAATAATTGGGTTGGAAGGGACCTTTAGAGGTCATCTAGTCCAACCTCGCTTGAACAGGGGCATCTTCAGCTAAATTAGGTTGCCCAGAGAGAGCCCCATCCAACTTGACCTTGAATGTTTCCAGGAATGGGTCACCTACCACTTCACTGGACAATCAGTTCCAGTGTTTCACCACCGTTGCTATAAAAATCATCTTTCTCATATCTAGTCTAATTCTATCCCCTTCTAGTTTTAAACCATTGCCCTTGTCCTACTGCAACAGGCCCTGCTAAAAAGCTTGTCCCCATCTTTCCTATAAGCCCTCTTAAGCTCTTTTTGAGTGCATGCATTTAAATTTTGATTTAATTAAATTTAATTAATTTCATTTTTTTAAAAAAGTGTAGAGGCTTTTTTACAGTTTTGTATTAGAAAATAAATTTTTTGCAGTTGCACAAACCTTGTGTAGCCTGGTATACAGTTTTTTTGTCTTCCTGCTGTCATCAGGACAGATGACTCCTTCTGCAAACTCATGAGCAAGAGTTTGAGGAAGGTGGGAAGCTCAGCTCTTGAATTGCTGAATCTGTAGGTCAGTAAGCAAAATTTGAGACTTTCAAAGATGATTGTGGTTTTAGAATGAGATTCCTCTAATTAAGGGACATTTTGACTGTTACTTTCTGCAACAATTAGATGTCTATTCCAAAAGGTAGAAAAAAACCAAACATCTCTAAAATTTCAGTGTGTGTTGTTGTGAGTCTGATCAAAATGCCCGTGTCTTCTTTTGATATGGAAGAAAAAGTTATAACTCTCATTTGTGTATCTCTGTCTGAATTCTGGCACCAGGTCAAAATAGACAGGTGAAGAACCCCAGATTTGATACAAGCTAGTAATTTTTGAGGAATAACATTTTGTCATAAGTGATTTGGAAAATTCAAGAGAGAAAATTACATGGATATCACGTCCTTTATTTGCCCAAAGATCTCTCATGAATTAATTCAAAATAACAGTAGCCTCAGCAGCAGTAATAGTAAGAAAATAAACATTTATATACATAAGTATTTTGGTGAACACTGTAGTAGTGGTAATAATGCAAATAAAGACAATTATGCACATATGTAGTTTGGTGAACACCTATTAAAGTGAAATAGCATAGAAGTGCTTGAAGCATGTAATGATTTTCTTCTGATGAACTTGACTTTTCTGGTAATCTGAAAGATGACTGAAGAGTTATAGCTTGTCAGGAAAATAAGCTGAAATAAATTGCATCTTTATAATATTTTTTATTAGAAAATGCTCTAGGGAGCATATAGAGTTTAAAAATTCAGTGCCTTTTCCTGGTGATACTTTCATCACAAAATAATGGCATTTTCTTGCAGACTGTTTCAAATTAATTATTTTAAATTACTGAGATAGTTGGTGGGTGATAGTTTTTGAGAGCTGTTTTTGAGAGTGAAGTGGCTCCTTTGTTATGTGCAACTAGCCTTATAAGCAGTATTAATTATGCCACATTGTAAAATTCTTCCTTATTTAAATGGTGAAGTAAGATACAAGGAATGAATAATAATATTTAATATCTGTTGTTGCGATGGGCTTATGGCAGGTAGAAGATAAAGAGGAGTAAAACTGAAGAAAAATAGTGCGTGAAAAGATCTGTTAATTGAACTGTGTGCCAATTCCCTAATCTCACAGTTTTTAAAATTATTCTTCCATAGCCTCAGACCATTCGGCAGACTCTTCAAAAGACGCTGCAGTATTTTGAGCATCAAGTCATTGGGTAAGTGTTAATGTGAGGTAGTGAAATGTGCATGGTAATGCTTTGCTCTGTGCTATCCAATTCACAGCCTTCCATGATAAACTTTTCAGTTTAATTTTTAACTTTTTCTCTCAAATTCTTAGAGTTGCTTTGGAATAGCAATGCATAATCTGGATGTAAATTGTAAACTGCTGTTCAGTCCTATTTCTGTACAATCCCATCCGATGGCGACTGCTTAATGAACTGTAATGTTTCTTATAAAAAGAGAATAGCAAATCCTTTCCAGTCCTAGCATATGAGGTCAGAAAGGGACCTCAAAGCTCATCTAGTCCAACCTTTCTTGACAGAAGCATGGTGTAGACAAGATGGCTCTGCACTCTGTCCAGCTGAATCTTGAAATTTACCTTCATGGGGCAATTAATCCTTTGCCACACTTCTGAAAGACATTTGTCGACTTTGCATTTGTATAAGGAGTTGTTATAACTTTTTTTTGTTTCTGTAGTTACAGAGATGCAGAGAAGAATTTTCACAATATTTCAAACAGATGCTCCTATACAGACTGCTCTGGCAATGAAGAAACTGAAGATGTCTCAGGAATTCTCCAGTGTACGGCTAATGTGCTTGGTATGTGTTTTTTCAAGGGAATTTGTTTCCCTTAGTTGCAAGGAAAGTTTACTGACCATCCTCATGCCAACAATGAAACCAGAAATTTTTGCTCCAACCACAGAAATGTAGAATACAGGCAGCAACATACCGGTGCACTGTTACTATATTTGTCTCCTTTTCTACATACATTTTGAGTTTTTAAGACAAGCCAGACGTGATTGTCAGTGGAGGAAGTGAATATGTATTGTGCAATACCCAGTGATTTAAGAAGTTTCAAAGGCTTTTGGCAGGTGAACTTGCTTCTGTGCAGGCCTTGGAATTATCTCTAGTGTTTTTATAGGGGTTCTACAGAACAACAGACACTTTTATCATTTGTGGGCCTGGTGGATAGAGGGCCTGAGAAGCAGCAGGGTGTACCTGAGACATGAAACATTCTGGAAACTTAGATTTTCTTCAGCAAGAAGCACAACACTGAAATCTGACTGTGTACGATAATTGAAGATAAGTTTTAACTTTCCATGTCAGGGGAATATGGTGAGGTGATAGTCTGCTCATGTTCTGGTCTTTACCATTGTATCCTACTGACTTAAAATACTTTTGGAGGATATGCATTGTGTTTCTCTCTTTCTTACTGCAAACTGTTAAGCAGACTTGGTATGCTCTGTGCAACAGCAAACATGATCTAGTTTAGAGATGACTGTGTTTCACTGATATTCAAAATGCTGTTGTTTTTTTTTTTTTTGCTATCCACTGCCATATTCTGTAAAATGCTGGGTGCTGTCAAGGATGTTCTGTGTGCCTTTAACTGCTGCTAGAAAGAGGTGGCATTTTGTGTTTTGCATGTGTGGTCATGGAGAGAATTTAGAGAGAATTTAGAACAAATTAAATTCTAAATATGTCCAGTGTTAGTTACCTTTCTTTTTTTAATTCTAAAATATTTGCATGCTAGCTCTCTAAAACAAATGCTATGAGTGATAAGGCAGGACTCATGCAAAGCAGAGACTTTTCATGTTATCAGGTGCATATTAATATTATAAAAAGACAGACTAGACATTCAGTACTTGTTTCACCATGACACAAAGTATGTGTTGTATGAAACAGTTACGAATAATTTTTCACCTTCATAGTGCTTTTAAAGCAATATGTTAGTCCCAGTACCTCAGCATGGCTGAGTAATGTGCAACCTGTTTCTTTAGTGCTATCCTCACAATGTGTGTTTATTAGGGGCAGATTGGGACTAAAGTATAGGGATAACATCTAAGCATTACTATCTTGGGGAACTATTAAAGTGGGCTTTATTGAAAATTAGGTTGCAGAGAGTTTTTCTTGGACGAGTTCGCATCCTAAAGAAGGAGTTCTTAGGAAAAAAACCCACTTCAGTATGAGCAAAACACTGAGATAATTTAAAAACAATCTTTCTCTCTATCTGGGATAAGAACCTAAAGGAATGAGCAGTAAACCCAGCTTCTTTATTTTAATTGTTGTGTCCTATCACAACAAGGAAAAAAATTAATGGAGGTTGTGTAATTAATTCTCACGTACACAGTTATTTTTCTTGTTGAATAAGGACTGGTAAGAGCTGCCTCTGTGAAAGAGGGACGTAACCACTGGGGTGTGTACCTGGAGCACCTGGCATTGCTGAGGCAGGAGGCAAGCATGAATCTGACTGTGATAAAGGCTAGAGAAACTGTTGAACAAAATCTGGCTCTTGGTTTATTTATATGAGCAGTAAGAGCCTCTTGCTGTCTAGGGCTGGAAGAAAATGTTTCCTTAAAGATGCTTAGAAGCATCTTCTTCCTTTCTGACCATAGATACTGCCAACATGATTCACCTCTTCCAATATCCTAACCACCTCTAAAAAAGTCATTTGGCATTCCTTATTCATCAGAAGAGTGCAAATGCTGAGATCACTGGTAAGCTTGGAAGACTGTGAGCAGATGCTTCACACTGTGGTCCTGGTGTTTACACTGCTCACAAGGAAGTGCTGACTGCAAGCTGCTCACTCAGCTCGGTGCATGTGATTTATCATGTATGAATGCTGCAATTTTCCTCCTGTCAAGTCAGCACTAAAGTGTGTCACCATCTTCCTGCGGCACAAGGACCTGGTTCTCCTTGTCTCCTTGCTGAGACTCTCTGCTGCAAGTCTAGGCATCAATAGAAGTCTCCCTGCTTTAAACTAGTGTAATTAAAGGAACCCATGGCCAGATGTTCGTACGCTGTAAACTGTGTGTGGTACCAGATCCATCCCACTGTTTTCCTTTACAGTGACAGCTTCTGAGGCTGGAGTATGTAATTTAACTTTTGATCCTTTCAAAGATAGTCCAGACAGCTTCATGATGGACTCAGCTTTCATTAATTGGTGCATGCATACATTTACAGTGTCCTTCATAAGCATGCAGAAACAAAGAATCCTTTAGGTTGAAAAAGATATTTAAGATCGTCAAGTCCAATTGTTAATGCAGCACTGCCAAGTACACCACTCAACTGTGTTCAGAGGAGATTGACAGTGTTGGTTTGAACCTATTTTAGAAATAATGATAAGAGAAAGATATTCATGATGAAGTATGTTGTGTGGATTACTGCCACATTTCTTTCTTAGGTGTCTATAAACTTATACTGAGGTATCTTAGAGAGAAAAGTTGTATCTGAAGGGATTCCTTATTTGACCTTGGGCAAGTTTTTATTCTTTCTGTACCTCAATTTCCCATCTGTATAATGGAGATAACAGGATTTTTTTAATCCTTTAAACCACATGTCAGTGCTATTCACATTTCAACCTTCTTGAAGTAAAGACATTTTCATACCCTTTGTACATTCAGCATTTTGAACAATGACAGCAAATCTCGTTTGGGACTGCTTTTGTCCTCATGATTTAAAATAATTTGATTTCAAGCAAGATTAGAGTGTGCATTTTTACTTAAATGCTTCCAGAATAAAGCAGAAGACCTTCATGTAGCTGCAAATTAAAACTTTGGCAACAGGAAATTATAGATGAAATTTTTTTTTTTTTGTTATTTTGTAACTGCTATTGTAAGGAGTTTATTCCAGGACATAAAGCCTTCATGACCAATCTCCTGTTTATTTTTTTGGCAGATATTCAAAGAAGGTCTGTGCTACTGAGTTTTACAAAGCAGTAGAGAAATGCCTGATTTTCCTTTTTGAACCTCACTTCCAATATATCACATGATATTTCTCACCTCCCAAATGCAGAAGTCAGATAAAAATTGTACAACCTTCACCTCACCTCCTCCAAACACTCTATTCAGACACTGCAAACAATTAATGTAGCCTTTGTGAATGTGAACTATTTTTCACTCTTCAGTCCTTCACAGGGAAAAAAAAAGAAAGGAAGCTTCATTAAGGCAGTTACCTATCTTAAATGGCATTGGTATTTCCTTTGGAGCCTCTTTGCATCTTCCTGAGGAACTGTGTAATCTGTCCTCGCTTTGATAGTAAAACTAATGAAAAGTATCTTAAATTCATAAAGTTACAAAATGAGCTGTTATACAAAGTCTGCAAAGCAGCAGTAGCTGTTCATACCCAGTCTCTAATGACATGGAAGAAGTGTTGTCTTTGAAAGCCCATTTGTGTATTTTAAACTGCACATCTAAATTGCATGTACTGCAGCACCGTGTTAGATATACTCTATAAATTACACTTGGTCACACAGTCTGAAGTCACAAATACACTTGTATCAGATCATGGTTTCAGCAGAAAGGCCTGGAGAAGTAATTTTACCTATCTGACTTTCCATTGCTTAAGGTGCAGAAAAAAAATTCTCCTCAATTTTTTTAATTCAAGTAAATAATTTATACAACAGAATTATTTTCTGTCTCATAAAAATCTGGCTTCAAAATGCACAGCACATAATGGCTAAGTCAGCTCTACATGTGGACTTGAGTGTATTTTAAGAATTTTTCCTGTTAAGGTAACTAACTTGAGGGATAATAATGCTCTTTCTTTTGGTTTTGCTTCAGAGAGTGGTGTGAAGAATTTGCTTGTCTTTCTATCTATCTGGCCATCTTCTGTTTGGAGGATGATACAGTGTAATGGCAATTCCCTAGGGATTCCCTAATACCCTGGTGATAAGTTGTATGGAATCCTGGCCCAGAGCCCTGTCCTGTCAGGGAGATAAATTGTGTTTCTGGATTCAGCTTCCCCAAGTCACCAAGGAGGAGGTGGAATCCATTGTTAGTGTAAGGTTTTAGAGAGTTCTTGCTCTGGGTGACATTTGCTTGTCACTACCAAAGAGAACATGTGCTGCAGGCTGCTTTATATAGGGCAAATCACTTCATGCCTAAATATATCTTGCAGGGCTGATCCTTCATTTAGTACAAAGGGCATAATTCTATAAAAGTCATTTGTTCTCTGTACATTTGTCAAAGTTAAAGATCTGTGTTTCCGTTATGAAACTAAGAAAATCTTATCTCTCACATGAGGCAATAGCATGAAGCTGTGTCAGGGCAAGTTTAGGCTGGATATTAGGAAAAGGTTAATCACCCAGAGGGTGGCTGAGAGCTTCACTGAGGTGAAGGCTATTCAATTTTTATTGCTCCACTGCTGAGCACTTGGGAAGTGGTCACAGCACCAAACCTGACAGAATTCAGGAAGTGCTTGGACAGTGTTCTCAGGTATATGGTGTGATTATTGGGATGTCCTGTGCAGGTCCAGGAGTTGGATTTTGATGATACTTGTAGGTCCCTTCCAACTCAGAATATTCTATGCATTTATGATCCTCTCTTGTTAAAGAGGAATATATTAGGGATCATTCTTGTAACTATTAAATAACTGCTAAGAAATACTGTATTTTAAGAGGCAGGAAATAATTGAAAAGGAGATGCCAGGACAGATCTTAGCCTACCTACTAGCCACTTTAGACTGGAAAAGATAAACAAAGGTTTGGTAGTCTGACTGCTTGGAAGGTGTCTGGGAACTGTAAATGCTTATATATTGAAAGTACCTAAATTTTTATCACTTCCCTTTGCACTAAGAACTGCGGCTAGTCATTAGGATGCAAT